TGAATAATATGAACGAAAAGCAAATATAAATTAAGAAATTATTTGTTTTTATTATTACTTTTGATCATTAAATATGAAAAACTGGTTAAACTGTTGACAAAATCAAGTCTTGATATTTGTTTGCTTTTTGGACTTATTATAGAAAACAATAATACAATTAGTGTTAAATTTAATGATTTACTAATTAGTAGTTGTATTAGAAATTAGGGATTGAATGTGAAACCAATTGTCAATATTTGGTGGCAATGCTATAGAAGAGACAATAAATGGCAATAAATTTATTATTAATATTCAATATATTATATAAAGAAATAATAGCTTTTATCACAACTTTGTTTTAATCAATAATTTCTGTATTAATCGATAATTGAATTCAAAATCATATAAGAATTGAAGTGAAAATGAATTTATGGAAAAAATGAGCGGATCTTCAGATTTACATAAAATTACAATAATTGAGACAATAATAGACACATTCATACAGTAATCACACATCCATTCATTCAATTTGTTTAAAACTAACACTCAATCATATCATAAATATTATACTAATATATAAACACTTGTTTTAATGACGACTCTTTGAGAGTCAATTTAGTCCACCAGTGCATCGCTGATTAGATGTCTCTCTAAAAAAATTTTCCCAATTTTTTTGTCTTATAATTTTAGTTAACAAATATAATATACTTAGGAATCACTAAATTTGGTTCATTTCTCTCTATTCTGTTATAAAATCATAGATTTGTTTCATTTAGTTATGAAATTCTTATTTAAATTCTAATACTAAAGCAATAAAATAATTCAATTCTTTGAGAGATTGTTGCCATCAATCAGTTGTCGTCGTCTGCCATCTCTTCAGGCATTTCGTGAGGATTAATAATTCCCGGAACTGATAGTTGGATTCGACGCTTGTCTTCTTCCTTCTGCCTTAAGGAGGCCTCTCTTTCCTCGAGGAATAGATCGTTGTTGTCTTCGCCGGCGAACTCCTAATGCACACAAAGACAGACAAACCGTTAATTCAAGTGTCAGTGAATCAAATGGAGTGCAGTTGAGTGGAGACATACCCTAATCTGGACGAGAAAGTCTCGTAAGTGTTCCTTAAAGGCGGGCACGTCTTGGTCGAGGTTGAAGAAGCCCTGAACAGTGATCTTGATCTGGGCTTCAGTCAAGTGAGGGAACGCCGTCTTCAGCAGATTGGCTACAAATTCCTGAATGTATTGGATATTCGTCTGAGCGCTGGTCTGTACGGCTGGGTTCAAAGGACTGGTGATTTTGTTGGACTCGACTATATAGAACATATAGGCCAATATGTTGGCCTGCATTAGCAGTCCCGCCGTATGCGAAGTGTCGGTCACCACTGAAAACATGTGCTGAACAATGTCTGTATAGTAAGTTTGATAGAAACTCTGCATAACTGTCTCTTCAGTGCCAATGTTTTCGAGCAGTTTAAAGAGGATGGAGAGGCCGGTGTCGGCCACGTTGCGCATCGTGTGCTTAAAGGCCCATATGATTGAGTCCAACACTAATTTGAATTGTGTGGGAGGGATGTTGAGGAGGGCTTGGAAGCAATGGGTCACCACTTGTTGCAACAGAAGGAAAAAATTGGTTCTGTGTTCAGGAAATTCCTGAAAGTCTTTGTTTATCATCTCTAGAGTGCATTCAAAGACGGCGTCAAATATTTTTGGTATTTCGGAAGTGATGTGATTCTGGAAACAAACCATTCATTAGAAACTGTTTAGTCTTTCACTCAAATGCAAAATACCTCTAATTTGCTGACAATTGTAGCCATAGTTGAGAGCACTTCTGGTTCTCGAGCTGAAGGCACAGAACATCTTTGATAATCGAGAAGAACCGCATCCAGTAATGGAGGGATGAAGTTGTCGAGCACTAACTGAGGATCTGTCGATCGCGAGACCCAACCGGTAATCAACTTTAATGTCTCCTTCTTAACAGTCCTCATGGATCTAATGAGTGGCTGTTTTGTCACCACTTCTCCGTTGAGAGCAATGGCGGCACTGATGTTCTCACTCATCACTTTGTATACGTTCAACATATCGAGGTATATGCGGCCCAATTGAGCCATATATGGGTGCCCTAAAGCCTTACACGCCCTCACATTTGTCTTTAATATGTTTCCCAACTGTTTAACGGCGTCCGGATCTTTAAGGACGTCCACATTCTTCGTCGCCTGATTTATGATGTCATCCCAGACCTGATTCGGTAGAAACATGTATTTCTCTATCAAATGCTCTTGAATTGATTGGTCGGTCTGAGCGCTTATCATATGTCCCACCGCTTCGTAAAACGTGTGGACCTATCAAACAATTAACACTTTAGAAAAACAATGGTTAGAGTAATCATTATAATGCCAGACCTGTTGCGGCTGAAGATCACATATAATAGTATTAATGTTTGTGAGGATCTCTTCGATGAAAGGCATCACTTCTCCGACCTGGACCTGAACGAAGTGTCGCCGACACTTCTGAGCGATCTTTATAAACGTATCGCACGCCATGTCCTGAACGCCTTCGTGTGTTTCTGTATTCAATATATAACATAATGTATAGTTTGTCAATACAATACAACACATGTGCCAAAACAAGGGCAGCACTCATACCGTGCATAAATTCAAATAACTTATTGACGACAGTTTTCAAGAACTTCCAGTGGGCTCTGAGAAAGCGCGGGTACTGTCCGACGACATACATGATATTGGATGCGATGATGGCTTTGTTGTCTTTACCCCTTTTCTGTTCACACAATCCCAAAAGATCTTTAATAACAGTGACTAGAAATCGTCGTTCGTCCTCTTCACTCATGGCACCGCTGATGGAGCCGATGGCCCAACACAGCGTGTTTAGGTTCCTCCACGACCACTCTGTGCCGTTCACCTGATTGTGAAGCTTTTCAGTCATTATGCGTTCGGTGTCCGCACAATCCAAATGAGTCAAATACACGAGAGTTTCTCTCATATTCTTATACAGTTGTATAGAGTCGGTGTCTTTCATGAACTCCCTGACCACTTCACCTTGCTCGTTCTCCACCACCAACACCTCCTCGGGTTTGGCCATTCGGCCGATCATTATGTACCGAATTTTGGTCAGAACTGATTGGTAGAGCTTTCGTCGCGGAGCCATTAGAAACGACTGTCCGCTCGAGCCGTACACGGAATGTGTCCTCAAAGCAGACGGTGACGAATGCATGAGCGGTGACTCGCGATACAGTTCTGTGGCCAATGCGCCCCAGTATTCGAGACATATCTTGAAGATCTCCACCTCATCTACTTCTGAGATAAGCAATAAGTAGTGCAGAGCACCCAATAATACGGTCTGAAGAGAGGTCTCCGTCTCGAGAAGCTGTGAGTGTTCTTTCAAGAATGTGCACAAAAAGAGGCTCAGGTTTTGGATCAGCTTCTGTTCGTCGTCCTGTCCGTTGGCGTAGTTGTCCTTAATGTTGGAGTTGGGCGCCAGCATCAGCTCCAACTGTGTCATCGTCGACGTGAACATCATTACAAACATCTCGTCATAAGTGATCGCTTTGACGGACGCTATTTCCGTCAGACACTTGAGCGTCACGTTTCGGAACATCGGAACGATTAGAAACTGTAATTCAAAAGCCATTAGTGGTCGGCATATAAGCCATTGTCACAACCAATTCGTACCTTAAATATGAGTGCATTTATTAGACCCGTTTCGAAGATATAGCCCAAAGGAATCCAATTCAAAAATCGCAATAATGTCTCTAAAGTGCACTGAATAAGAGTGGCGTTGTTTGAGTTCTCCATCACGAACTGACATAACGTGAACACTTCCCGGAACTGCTGACACATCGTGTCCTTTAGATGTTTGGCCTTTGCCTGAGTCATCTGACCCGACGAGAAGTCAAACACTTCCTCACTATCCGCACAATAAGACACAAAACAATCATTAAATGTGTATTCAATACACTGTTGTTTTGAGTGAACGCATACCTCAATAGTTTCAAAATAATCATATTATTCTGACAAAGACTTTCATTTGTTTTGGACGCGCCGCAGATGTCATCGATAAAGTTGGGCCACTTTTTAGGCCATTCTCTCTTCAATATCTGTGCAAAGAATGCAACATTAGTTTGAATACAAAAAACAACAAACAAATACCTGAACTAAAATCATATTTAATTTGTTTAAATAAACTCTTTCTCTGTCGAGAGTCGACGGATCGGATGAGGTCTTAATGATGAGACCGACGATGAATTTCTTGATGCCTTCGCATTGATTTTCGGGCAATACTTTCCATCGAGTTTTAATCAGATTCTCGAGGATTTGGAGCGCATAGTATTTGGTCTCCTGATTGCCGGAGAACTCGAGAATCGTGTCCACAATTTCTTGATGCCTTCGCATTGATTTTCGGGCAATACTTTCCATCGAGTTTTAATCAGATTCTCGAGGATTTGGAGCGCATAGTATTTGGTCTCCTGATTGCCGGAGAACTCGAGAATCGTGTCCACTCGAGTCCACGCGTCCGGATGTTCTTTAAGAGTGGTCAGTATCTCCTGAGCGACCCGTTGTTGAGCCCCTTCTCCGCCATACATACAGTTGACAACACTGTCTAACAAATTAATGTCCAATTTGTGACTGAAATCCAACAGTTTGTTCGCCTGTTCTGCCAATGAGTTCATCGGATTTCCATTTACTGGAGAAACACAGAAGTAAACAATCAATTGATATTCAATTCAAATCCAATTAATAGATGACAAGACTTACATTGCGTTTGACCGCAAAAGGCATTAACTGTTGGACTATTATTGATGGCATTCTTCATGCTATCAATACTGGCATTCATTGGCTTTGCAGTCAACTGATCCACAAAAGACATGACGATTACAGTGCGATTACAGGGCAATGGATAGGAGCACTCATACGATGTGATGAAACCCATACTACACGAGAGTCTACGGCCGGGCGCTCAGGGAGGCTGTACTGAGAAGAGCGCTGTGATCGCTGAGACTCAGGTCAGTCTCACAGCTAATCATCTCAAATTCAAGCCATGATTTCTCTGTTGTCATAAATTCACATTTTTTATATGCATTAAATATATACATCTATATAAAAAATGTTTAATACATAGCTATCGTGAAAGGGAGTGAAATAAAAAGTTTTTATGACTTTTGGGTTTTTTATTGTAATTTTAGTCTCACTTATATTCATATGTATAGCCGTTTTCATTTCTCCGCACAATTGCCCGTAAATCTTGAGCTCTGATTTATGGCTCGATTCACACATAAAAAATTCATTTCAAAAAATACACTTAAAAATATTTTTTATACCATAAAAATACAGGGCTTTTGTTTTCGGAGAACACTTTTGTTTTGAAATTTTAATTTTTCACTTAAATTGCATTTTCTATTCACTCTTTCACTCTTCAGGTTTGCCTCCCATTCCTGTCATCAAAATTTATGACCCAATTCTCAATTCCTATTGTCATTACATACGAGATGTAGTGTTTTTGTGACATTTTGTTTTATATTCTCGATTTCACGTATGAATGAACAGGTGTTGCAGGAGAGTCTGGTCATCCCGGGTTCGCACCTGCATCTGGTCTATCACAGCAGCTATAGCCAGGGCTACCTGTCCACCATCAACGTACAGCTCACCCCCTCATCCATACCCAAAAGCCTACGTCTAGTGCTCTTACGGATTGTCATCGAAGGCATACTGTTTGAGAAGACCTTCGAAGCGGATCCAGACATCAAATACACCTACTCTTGGAATAAACGGAATATTTATAAGCAAAAAGTCTATGGCATTACTGTTGCCAAAGGTTTGTTTGATTTGTATAATTGATCGCTTCATCCCTAAAACGAGAAGTTTATATTTTCCGGTCCTTTCCTTTTGTTTTCTACTTTCAGTTATAAATTATTTTGTGAATTGAATTTTGTTTGTATTGTTTTTTGCAGTGAATTAATTGATTTGTCTTTCCTTTCCATAGTGTTTGTCGGATATCAGTATAAGGACTGCAAACAAACGGTGTGGACAGCGCTGTCGACTACACTGCGGGGCTATGATATGGACATCTCTGAGTTCGGGTCCTGGAATCTGGACATTCATCACAGATATAACTTTCATGAGGGAGTCCTCCAGAAGGGCGACGGAACCACTGTTTTCTTCAAACAACAGCCAAGAGTTATATCGGTTTTGATGGGCAACGGTTTGCCACGGAATATGATTTGCGGCAAAGAGTGCAATGGTTTTGCCAGAGATAATCGACTCCTGGCGCCCATTGCGCTCACCAGCGGCCCCGACGGCAGCGTATATGTGGGCGACGCCAACCTTATTAGGCGTATAACACCCGACAGACAGGTGTACACTGTATTCAAGCATAAAAATCTCCGCAATTCATATCAGTATCACATTATGTTGAGCCCAATCGATGGTCACCTCTATATCTCTGATCCCGAGAGACACCAAATACTTAGAATTCACTCGTAATATAAAATCAATTGATTTATTCCTCTATAAATTACATTTGTTTTTAACATTTGTTTTTTCTGTACAAACCATCACAGACTGGACAAAGTGGAGGACCCGGAGAACAACCTGGACGTAGTTGTGGGCAACGGTGACCGCTGTTTCCCACACGACCCGCTCAAATGCGGTGACGGCAAACCGGCGCCCGAAGCGCGGCTCATATACCCCAAGGGTATGGCGTTCGCCACCGACGGCACCCTGTATTTCGCCGACGGAAACAGTATACGAGTTGTGGACAATCACGGCATCGTTCACACCATTATAAACCGGCGCCCGAAGCGCGGCTCATATACCCCAAGGGTATGGCGTTCGCCACCGACGGCACCCTGTATTTCGCCGACGGAAACAGTATACGAGTTGTGGACAATCACGGCATCGTTCACACCATTATTGGCGATCGGAATCATCAAAAACAATGGAAACCCATTCCATGCAAAGGCACTCTCGCTGTTAACGAAGTCAGTATTGTTTGCACAAAAACTCACTTTTGGCTACTTTTGTTTGATTCTCCGTTTGATTTAATCTTAATCGCATTTTTATTGTTTTAATTGACAGATCAAACTTCATTGGCCGACACACGTGGGCATCAATCCGTTGGAGGGCTCTCTATATTTCATCGACGATCATATGGTGTTGAAGCTGACACCCGACCGGCGAGTGATGGTCATAGCGGGCAGTCCTGCCTATTGTAAGACATCGGATGGCAATGATTTCAATAACCAAACGAATGGACGCATTAATAACAGCCATGAGATGGGCTTTTTTGCCAACTTTGCTTTCGGACCGACCGGTAAGTTATTGATCACTTGTTTTGTGTGTGTTTTTATTTTCTTTGTATTGAAATTTACAACAATAAAGAGGAGAAAAAACTAACTTTTGTTTTCGTTTTGTATTTAATTTCCCGAAGGAATCCTTTACGTGACAGAAGTGTCTGAAAGTGGCGTCAATAGAGTGCGAGCCCTCACACAAGACGGAGAGCTCATCCATTTTGCCGGCAAAAAGACTATTACGAGACACTCGTGTCCGGTCGAGATGTGCCGCGATATCAACGCCCAGAACTGTACCTGTGCTGTACCCCCGATGTCCGCACTCACCCCCAGCCCTAACGAGTTTGAGGTATGCGATTAGGATCTAGTTTAGTCTCAATACGTCTCTCTCTCTCTCTCTCTCTCTCTCTCTCTCTCTCTCTCCTGATCTTTCAATCACTAAAGAGTAAAATCGATTAGTTTTTTCATTTGTTTTATCTATTGAATTGATTTTCTTCTTGTCTCTCGTTTTTTGTCATGAATTGAATTGAATTTCAGGCAATTGTTTGCCATTCAATGATAGCATCCCTTACTTTGAAGGCGACGTTTGGGGAGAAATTATTTCACAACTTTTAGTTTTCATTTTATTTGTACAAAAGAGTTGTGTTTTTATTAATACAGGAATTGAATTGAATTTTATAAATTTGTTTTCTGCCGACAAATACCGGTAGGAATAAGATTAGGATATTTGCGAACAAATGGTATTACATTTCGTGTTTAAGTTAATTAAATATAAAATAATATATAAATACAATGAGAGAACAAATAATAAAATGATGGTAATTATGAGTAGTGTTAAGGAGGGGTCGCCGGCTTTTGAGAGACGGGTCCGTCGCCGACGTCAAACATTTCGGTCTCCTGTCTATTGAGGTTAAGATTTGTGAAATAAGTTTTCAAATCAGTTTTGATGTCCACGTCGTCCCACTCCTTCTTAAACCAATTGCTGTCTTTGATTTTGTCGATCGTATACCTCTTGCCTTCGTTCACAAGTATATTACGTACGAAATCTTGACATTCATTGGACACTTCGGGCGCTTCCGGCAGTTGAATGAAGTGATCCTTGTTTTTGGCGAATTGTTTCATTTCGTTGCCGTCGTTGGGATACCTCCCGAATAGCATCACATATAAGACAATACCAGAGCTCCTGAAGAATCCCATAGAAGACAACAATTAGTTTTCATTTCAGGAATTACCACAAGTAGTCCATTCATACCATATGTCAGCCTTTGTTGGCTTATATGGTTTGGCGCACAACAGTTCCGGTGAGGCGTATATAACACTCCCGCAGAAGGTTTTGCTCAGACATTCTTCGGCACTGATGTCTGTGATCTTATTCTTCTCGATTCTCATCGCCTTATCATATCTGAGACGACAACAGAAGCCGAAGTCGAGTATTTTGATCTCGTAGTTATCGCTTAACAGCATATTTTCACACTTGAGATCTCTGTGCGCGAACCCATTCTTGTGGATGTGCTCTAAGCCGCTGATGATCTGCTTATACCATCTGCAAGACTGGCCTTCGGGTATGAATTGGTGTCTAGAAATGTAGTCAAAGAGGTCTCCATTCGGATAGAAGTCCATCACTTCGTATAACCTTTCAAAACAAATGTAAAGTTTCTTTATTAGTGATTGAATAGGTTATCGCAATCACTATATCCTTACAATTGATCCGAGGGTTCTTCGAAGACATCGTAAAACTTGATGACATTGTGATGGGCGGGAAGTGTTCGCATTAACTCCAACTCCACTTTCAGAAACTTGTCTTTGAATTCGGGTGTCTGTCGTTTGGTGTCCACAATCTTAACGGCCATTGTTTTGTTATGTGTGCGCGACTTCGCGGTGTAGACCTTGCCGTACGATCCCTGGCCTATCTCCTCCAGATTGGAGTATCCCTTGTCCTCCAATACCTTCACTTTACCGGCGGTTAACACAAACTCTTTGTGCGGCGCGTCTGCCTTCTTCTCGGTCTTACTTAACGGCGATTTCCACCACTTCTTGTCCTCATCTTTCTTAAGAGGGGAATCACTTGTCTTTGGTTTCTCTTTTTGGCCACTCTTCGGATCCGCCGCTTTGAACAGTCCTTTGACCGCATTTTTCACAGTTTGTCCACTTTTCTCAGTTTGAGTCTTCGCGATCGGATCAGGTTTGGGCGGATTCACCGCTTTTTGTTTGTCACTCGCCTTAACTGTCGGTGTCTTTTGATTGTCACTCACTTTAGCCGACGGTGTCTTTAGACTATCATTCACTTTAACAGTTGGTTTCTTTTGATTATCACTTACTTTAACCGCCGGCGTCTTTGGATTATCACTCGCTTTCACTGTCGGTGTCTTTTGATTGTCAGTTGCCGTAAGTGTCGATATCTTTTGATTATCACTCACTTTAACTGATGGTGTCTTTAGATTATCACTCGTCTTAACAGTCGGTGTTTTTTGTTTGTCACTCGCTTTAACTGTTTGCGTCTTTTGGTCATCACTTACTTTAACTGATGGTGTCTTAAGATTATCACTCGCCTTAACGGGCGGTGCCTTTTGATTGTCACTCACTTTAACCGACGGTGTCTTTAGATTATCAGTCGCTTTAACCGTTGGTTTCTTTTGACTATCACTTTCTTTAACCGGCGGTGTCTTTGAATTATCACTCGCTTTCACTGTCGGTGTCTTTGGATTCTCACTCGCCTTAACTGTCGGTGCCTTTTGATTATCACTCACTTTAACCGACGGTGTCTTTAGATTATCAGTCGCTTTAACCGTTGTTTTCTTTTGATTATCACTTTCTTTAACCGCCGGTGTCTTTGGATTATCACTCGCTTTCACTTGCGGTGTCTTTTGAGTTGATTTTTTGGGCTCTTCCTTCGCTTTCTTGTCGTCCTTTTTCTTATCCATAGTTTTTTTTCTTGTAATTAATCCACAAATAAAATTCAAAATCAAATTGAAATCAGAATTTAAATCAAATCAATTCAAACAATACAAACAATACGATAAGTTATGTTTCAAACTAACCGTTATGTTTTAACTCAACCCATAGGGCAATACAGTGCTGTTGGCGCGCGACACACGCCTCGTCACCATAACTGCCTTAACGCTGACCAGTAATGGTGTCCTTCATATGGCCGACGCCGGGAACCTACGGCTCCTGTCGGCCGTGCCTTACATACCACAGCCGGACGAACAGTTCGAGTTTCAGATCGCTTTCCCCGACGGCCAGGAGCTGTACGTATTCAACAAATACGGTCAGCACACGACCACCCGGAGTATTATCACCGGCCGATCGCTCTATACCTTCCTCTACAACGTTAACACCAGTTTCGGTAAACTAAGTGCTGTGACGGACGCGTCGGGCAATAAGGTGTCGTTCATCCGCGACTCGGGCAACAGTTTGCACACCATTGAGACCACTCGGGGCCAGAAGTGTCGGGTGTTGACCAACAAACAGGGTTTTCTCGAGCAGTTCGTCAATCCGGACAATTTGACCACAAAGTTCGCGTACGACTCGTCCGGTCTGTTGGTCTCGCGGTCTGATTCCGCCGGACATTCATTCTTCTACTTCTACGATGGCAGCGGACGACTGGTTCGGTTCGTACGGCCGACCGGTGTGTCCACGGAATTGGTGTTTGACTTCAGCCATAACGGCGCTCACGTGTCGGCAGTGGACTCGTCGTCCGATTCGTCGCAAATCAAGACAACTATCGTGAAAGTGAGGGGCGAGTCGTTCAACACATACGAGAACGGCATCGAACTGAAGACATTTGTCCATTTGGACGGTTCGGTCGAAGTGGAGACCCCGTGGAGGGATGTGGTCTACTGGGAGGCGCAGCCGCACAAAGTGTTGCTGTCGTACCTCCCGGTTCAGGCCGGGATGTTCCCGGTGCTCATGAGGCAGACCACCACCAGTACCGCAACCATCACCTCCTCAGCCAACGTCCAGAAGCCGTGGATCGGCTGGGATTACGACGTGAAGTACAACCGCCGGTCAGACCGGGAGAGGAGTGTCGCTGCGGTCGAGCGGATACTCGTGATCAACGAAACACAGTTCCTGAGCGTTGAGTACGACTGGATCGCCAATCGGGAGATACTGTACAACAACTCTCGGCGGCCGTTCCTCTTCGTCCAGTACGACGACTCGTCCCGACCCGTCCAGTGGTTGCCCAAAGAGAGCCGTTTGCCGCTAAACATGATGTACGACCGGTTCGGCCGCCTCTCGGGCTGGCAGGAGGGCCAACACTCCGAGACCTACGGCTACGACCGTATGGGCCACTTGTCGGAGATCCGCTTCTCGGACACCACTGCCCTGAAGAACAGCTACGAAGACGGAAAGATGTCGCCGACGAAGATAGCGCTGCGAAGTGGCCGCAAGTACTTGTACTCCTACGACGACAACGGAGGTCTGCGGGCCATCACAACACCCAAAGGCACGAAACACTCGTTCCGATTGGAGGTGTCGTTGAATTTCTATAAACTAGTTTATACGCCACCCAATGGCGGCCCTCTCAACGCGTATGTGATATACATGGACTCAGAGCACCGGCCGGTGATGAAGACCTATCCGCAGGACTGGGGAAAAGTGCTGTATCTCTACAACAATCGCTCCCAACCGACGGAAGTGGTGTTCGGCGCCGGAAAAGTGGAGAAAGTGTACCACAAATGGACCGGACTTTTGGCCAAAGAGTTGTGGCAATACGAAGAGCAGCGGATTGTCTCGCAGTTTGAATACACGGGCGCTTTGCTCACCAAACAGTACCACCAGTTTGTCTCCGCGTATCTGCTCTCAAATCTGGTGTTTAGCTATCAATACGACTCGTTCTCGCGGTTGAAACTGCTGTCCACACGAGTCGGTTCCGTAAGTCTTCCGCCAATCGATTACGCCTACAATCAACGGACCGGACGTCTGGAGGCGATCGGCAACTTCCGGGTGTACGACAAGTCCCAGAACGACACCCTATTGACGGACGGGACGGCCAGCTATTCAAAGTCCTTCGACGCGTCCCATCTGTTGTTGCAGTTGTCGTTAGTNCGCCTACAATCAACGGACCGGACGTCTGGAGGCGATCGGCAACTTCCGGGTGTACGACAAGTCCCAGAACGACACCCTATTGACGGACGGGACGGCCAGCTATTCAAAGTCCTTCGACGCGTCCCATCTGTTGTTGCAGTTGTCGTTAGTGATCGCCGACAAAGAGGTGCTCCGTATGGACCTGTCCTACAATACCAACGGAGCGCTCATCCAATCGAAGACATTTATGCGCCATTTGGGCGCCGGTAAAGTGCGGGTCCAGAACTACACCTATGACGCCGACCAACAGTTGGTGGAAGTGATGGGAAGGGATCACTGGAAGTTCTCCTACGACGACAACACCAATCTGGCGACAATGCAATACATGGGTAATCGCATTGACATACTCTACGACAACAGCGACCGTATTGTCAGTTTCGGCGAAACCCCGTACGTGACGGACGCCAACGGGTTTGTGGTCCAGAGGGGCGAAGAGAGGTTCACGTATAACCCGTTGGGACAGTTGATGCGCGCCCACCGGCCCTCCCGTTATGATGTCAACTATATGTACGACTCTCGGGGCCGGCTGTCTGTCCGCAAAGACAGCTACAACAATGTCACGCAGTATTTCTACGGCGATATCTTGCGGCCACATCTGGTCACACATATGTTCAACAACGCCGACGGACGCGTCACCACTATTATATACGATGACCAAAGTGTGCCACTCATGACACAGGTATGTATTGCCAACGAACCTATGAACCACATAATTCATGGCTGAATTGTGGTTAAAACTAAAATGAATTAATTTTCAATGTATCTCACATTAAGGTAAATCATGAAGTCTTCTACATAGCGTGCGATCAAATCCGAAGTCCACTACTAGTGCTCGACCACAGGGGAGAAGTGGTAAAGGAGGTGCATAGGGGGCCATACGGTCACGTGCTCTTCGACTCCAACCCAGCCTTTTATTTGCCGATCGACTTCCAGGGAGGGATTCCCGACCCCCTCACAGGCCTTATCCACTTCGCCGACAGTCGTGTCTATGACTCGTTGGTCGGCCAATGGCTGACACCCGACTGGGATCGGCTCATGTCGGACCTGAAGGACCCGCAGTCACTGCACGCCTACCGTTTCAATCGCAACGACCCGATCAACGCTCCGGCGGACGAGCGCTGGAAGATGTCTGATCTGAACAAATGGATCCACAATCAGGGCATCGACTTGTCTGCCTTTGACATCGGTTTAGTCAGTCTGTTCAACGGCTGCGGTGGCGGCGGTGATGATGACCGCGATGTCGATGACCAGCGGTCGCCGCCGCCGACGACGAAGCCGTCGCACGCCTTAAATTTGCCAAAAGTGTCGGCGCCTGCGCTGCCCATTGTCTCGGGCTTCGCCTGCGGTCTCCAGAGGACACTCAACAACTTCCGGATGATATCCAGTGTCGATAAATCAAAGGCATGTGTTATTGTCGTATATCATTGGATCCAATGCTGAAAAGCGATTATTAATTTGACATTTGAATTGACATTTTTAGGTGAAATCCGAAGACCTCTTCGAGTCGATCCAAACGAATAAGATCTCCAGCGAAAGCGTACCGTTCGGTAACGGCATAAGTGTGTCGCGAGTGGGCGGACACGCGGTGGTAATGTCGGCGCCGGACGCGGACCCCATCCGGAAGGATGTGTTCACACAAATACTAAACAACACTTATTTACTTGACTTGCATTTCGTGATCCACGGAAACGATGTCTTCTATTTCGTGAAGAACAACACGTGGAGAGTGGCCGACGATCTGACACAACTGCAACGGCTCAGCACTAGTGTCAACACTACTGTCCACGAGAACAAGGCTGAGGACCAGAAGGGCGGCGGACATCAGGTCTGCATTCATTTATATTGTCTGCACAATTGTGTCTAATTTTTAACGTATTTTTGGGTTTTCTTATATTTAATACTATTATAGTCTGTGATTCCTTTTGCACTTTTTCCTCACTTATTGGGATTAATTTAATTTCACACAAATTGTGGCCACAAATGTTCTCTCTCTCTCTCCACGTGTTGTTCTTCACGAAATAGAAGACATCGTTTCCGTGGATCACGAAATGCAAGTCAAGTAAATAAGTGTTGT